ATATATAAAAGATTCATTTATTCTATAAATAAGTTAATTTAAATTTATTTCGTTTAATAATTTATATTTTATATCAGATTTTAATGATTTAATAGTTAAAATTAAAATTATTTAGACCAAATTTATAAATTTAAAAAAAAATTAAAAATTATTTAATACTTCATTTTTATATTTTTTCACTTTATTTTGACCTTGATTGCAATGTACCTAGATTTACTTAAACTACAAATTTTTCTCTTCTTAACAAAAATGAATTGTAGAATTTTCTAACTTTTCAAAAGAAACAAATTCTATCCCGACACAATATTTTCATGCCATATTTCTAATTAAGTCTTTGGGCATTGCATATGATAAAATTGGAACAATTAATTTCGTGTTAGTTGATTTACGTTTGCGCTCTTTTGACAAAAACTTTGAACATTTAAGAATATATATATATATAACCAAAATAATCACAGCAACCAATGAATGTGATGTGAGAACCAAGAATTGAATGTGACTTGTACCCCCACAATAAGAGAACCATTTATGGCTAACAATTGAATGAATAAAAAATTGAGGCACTAAGGTATGGAGTGGCCTAGTTTTGTGTTGACCATGTTACTCTCCTATAGTTGCTCCCTTGGGTTGTGTTTTTCATGAGCATCCCCCTCGTGCGTGTGGGGTGGCCAATTCAAAGGACAAGTCAAGAAATGCACAACCATTGTAGATTGCGTTCATGACCAGCCAATTCAAGCTTTGAATTTGCAAGGTGTGCACAAGTACCAATACATCACCATGTGCATCTGATTGTTCAATTCCCTTACAACTAAGGGAATATACAGAGACGCAATGTAAAGGGTATATAAGGACACAAATCTTGTCATTCATGTGAGAGTGAAAGGAAAAATGCATTTATCACAGATTCACAATGTTTTTTTAACTATAATCATGTTTATCAGAGAATATTCAACTCTCTTTTCTATGCATTAGGTTTAATTAAGTAAAGTTTATTTGTCCTCAAATCTAACTATGCTCAGTGAAATCTACATTGCATTATACAATTGTCCTTTTTTATCTTCATAACAAAAAGTTTAAATACTCTTTTAGTTTCATAAATTTTATATTTTAGTTTTTATAGTTTAAATATTTTATTTTAATTTCTGTATATACCATTTTATTTATTTTAGTCTTTGTCATATATTAGTATATGGACTAAAAGGTAAAATTTATAAAATTATAAAGATTAAAAGAAAAAAAAATTAGAAACTAAAATAAAATATTTTAATTATAAAAATTAAAAGATAAAGTTCATGAAATTATAAAGATCAAATGAACATTTAAATCATAAAAATGTAATTATTTTTTGTACATAGTTAATTTTTTGTTTGACATATTATGGACTTGTTTAATTATAAGGTTTTATGATAAAAGAAAGAAAAATGTTATAAAATCTAGTAAAATAGAAAGAAAAAAAAGGAATTAAAAGCAAAATTGTGCATTAAATATTGAGAGAAGTCTAGGACTAAAGATATCCATTCAGAATGCATATGGATAACCACAAAACCATAGATCAACTTGCAATAAGTTATTCTAACTCAACTAATAATTTCATAATTTGAGTGTTGAAAATGTACTACACTAAAATTCTATAAGGATGATTTTATTTTCTCTAGAGATTTTTTTATCTTATTTGAGCTTGAATAGTCAAACCAAAAAAATAATGTATAATTAGATAAAGTTTCCACAAATTTCGTTTCAATCACACTTAGGTGCAAATACCATTATTGCGAGAAAGAAATATTAAACAAGTGAGTTATTTATTTTGAAAAATTATATTAGAGTTGACTTTAGATTTAAATTATAAAGGTTCTAACAAAGTAGGCTGTTGCAAGGGACTAGATGTGAAACAAAAGTGTTATTTTCCTTAAATCCTCCCCCATAGAAGGTGACATGCTTGAATAAATATTTTATGCATTACTCCATGACAAAATAAGCACTTAAATAATCCATAGGTGTACTACTCATTACATCAACCAACTCTCACTCATATGATAAAATAAAATAATGATATGGGTGTGGAATAGCATGCCAAGCCTTTAAGCATCTGAAAATAAAAATGAAAATAACCACCGCACCCCTGAATGTAAGCCAAAAGTTGAATTGAAGTGATCCTATGTCACTTTAGTTCTTTAAATCTTTGGCTGTTTTATTTTATTTTATTTTATCTTTATTTTGATCTTTGAAACTTCCCATGGAATGAATGGATTGGCAAAAGCTGGAAGGTACTAAAATACAGCTCCAAACAAGTTGTAACAGACAAGGCTCTAATTTACCAATGAGGTATGAGGTATCCTATATTGGTTGCTTTTTCACTCATAAAGCAACATTCCAAAGAAAAAGAAAGAATAAGTCCCACTAGCACCAACCTATAAGTAATAAGAATATCACCTCCACTAACTCTGTTTCTCCTCTGTTACCACTCTGCCCCAAAACAGAGCAAAAACAGAGGATCCATTCCACCACTCCTAATGGATCCACCACCCCCATCTGTCGCCATCATCGCCCCTACCACCACTCAAAAGACTTATTCTGACTCAGTAGAGTCTCTATCACCGCGTTCCCGCAACGTGGAAGTGGTTGCGGGAGCGTGGAATGATGAGACTCTACCGGTGGTTCCTGGCGCGAAGCTGCGGCTGATGTGCAGCTATGGTGGCCACATCATACCACGCCCTCATGACAAGTCCCTCTGCTATGTCGGCGGCGACACGAGGATTGTGGTGGTGGACCGCCACTCGTCGTTAAAAGACCTGTGTGCAAAGCTTTCTCGCACCATCCTCAATGGAAGACCCTTCACACTCAAGTACCAGCTTCCGAGTGAAGACCTTGATAGCCTCATCACTGTGACCACTGATGAAGATCTTGACAACATGGTGGAAGAGTACGATCGAATTGCCGCAAAAGGTTCGGCTTCTTCGCGGCTCAGGGTGTTCCTGTTCTTCACCAAACCTGAGGCCACGGTTTCAATGGGGTCACTTCTTGATGATGTCAAGTCAGAGACATGGTTTGTTGATGCACTCAATAACTCTGGAATGTTAAGCAGGGGGGTGTCAGATTCTGCTGCAGGGGATTCTTTTGTAAACCTTGATGGAGATGGTGTTGGTGTTAGTGCTAGTGGTTCAAGCAACAACTTGGAGGCTTTGCCTGATGCTAACAACAAGGCTAAGAATTTGCCTGAAGTGGTGCAAGTGCAATCAACTCCTGGTTCACCTATGATGGAGAACAGTGCTTCTTCTCCTTCTTTCTCTCCTTCTATGGCTAATCTGCCTCCGATTCGGGTTCGGGTTGATGACAATGGTAGTAGGCTTCAGCAAGAGAACAAGGTTGGGGTGATGGTGGAGGAGCAGTTTGCTCAGATGACAATTGCAAGTGGAGTAAAGCCAGATGATGGGTTGGTGAATGTTGTTTCTTCTGCAATGGCTGTGCCTCCAATTCCTGCATCAGTGACTATGACATCAGTTGGGGTAGCTACCACCAGTGATACTGTGATGAATCGAGTTGTATCTGATGATGAGAGACCAGATCACGTGTTTAGGAAGCCCCCTTTACCATTGCAACTTGTGCAGCCAAAGACTAGTGGTGGTTTGAGTTTGCCTTCTCCTGATTCAGTAACAAGGTGTGTGATTTCTATCATATTAGTATATTACCCTTTTTTGGTATGTTTTATAACCATATATTATGAAATATCCATTAAGTTCACTGATAACTAATTTTAGAGAATCTGACCAATCTGCTTTAGTTGGGAACCATGTTTCTGTCTTTACCTTTTCCTGTTGTGAATATAGTGGTTTTTAAGTTAAAAAACATGCTTAAAATTTTTACTTTTGGTGATGTGATGATAATATGAATTTTGAAAGTGTTGGTTTTGGTTAATGTTTCCAGTGATAGTAGTATTGCATCTGCAAATTCATTCTCCAAGACTGTGTACTATCAAGACCAAGTCCAAGCCACACTACTAGACAACAACAAAGCTGTTTTTTTACCAAATGCCAAGAGTGAAATATCTGATCAGGTGGTTCAGGTCTCTGGACAAGTTCATGATTCTGGCTACATGTTACCCCCACAGGTGGATCAAACCAAGCAACTCCATCAGCAGAAGCCATTGGCCCATGCCAGCACTCATTACATCCACCACACTGCAGCCACAGTTCCAGTGCCAGTTTCATCATACTACCCAGTCTATGCCCCACCACCACAACAACAACTTCACCCTCCAATTGGTCAACAACAGTACCCAGTTTATGTGATGCCTGTTGGGCCTACACAGCCATACAACATGGCCTTGCAGCCCAATATAGGTGACCCAAATGTGGTAAGGCCACTAATGCCACAAAGTGCTGTTAGTGTTACCTCAGCAGCATACAAGGATGGTACTCCACCTATCTACCCCACCAAGTCAGTTACCCCCCCAACTATACCTGAGGTGACTCCAAGTGTTTACAAGGCTCCTCCTGTGGCATCAAATCCTGCATATGCTCCAATACCCGCCAACCAATTTCAGCCACAGTATGTGGGTTTGCCTCAGTTCCATCATCCACCACAGTCCATTGCTGTGGCTCCCTCTAGTACTACTAATTATGGTTATGAATATGGTGGCCATGTGCAAGAACAAGCATACTACACACAACATCAACTAACTACGACTGCTCCATTGCTTCCTCAGTACCAATCCATGACCCCAGCTGCAGCTGCTGCAGCACTATCAGATGCTTCAAGTCAATATCCTGCAGACAACATTCAGCAGCCAAATAGAGCATCACAGCCAGTATAAGTTAAAATGCAGAATAAAATGAATTAGTTTGGAGGCAGAAATTATTAGGTAGTCCAAGATCACCAAGGGTTTACGGTTTCAATCAATCACTATATGACATGCATTTAAGTTTTTCAATTTATGAGAAAAATTAATAATACTTAATTATATGTTACGTAGAGATTGATTAGAGACTATGTGATCTAGAACTACCTAATAATTTCTCATTTGGATGAGGCACATTGGAGAGGAATGGGGTGAGTGGTGATTGGACTTTACTTTCATTTTTTAACAATGAACATATGGAGCCTACTTTCTAAAAACAAAATAAGGACTAAATCATAGGTATTTTTTTTCTTCTTTTTATCTGTACTGAAAAGAATGACATGTAAGATCATATTTTGCAAACTTAGCTTTTATGGTCATCAAAGTTACTCAGTTGAATAAAGCAAGTTGTTACCGTTAGCTATATTGTGGGACCTCTTATAATGCTTTTCTTTTCAAAATTTGGTATATTATTTTAGACTTGAAGTCACTTGACAGTTTATTTGTTTTCTTCTGATTAACAAAACCAACGATCAGATTCAGATTGTAATTCAGCCTTATGATTATCTATACGCTTTGTCTTGTTTTGAGCATCAGATCTCAGATAAGGCATGCTCAGTACTACGTGAAAGTGGTTCGAGTAATTTAATAAAGACATTAGCCAAAAGGAAAATGGCTAGGTGGAATTGTGGATAATATCAAAAGGGCTTGTCATTGAAATCTCTATATTGGCTTAGCAGCACTTGTTCTTTAACAGATGGTTTTATAAAGATGGCTAGTGAAAGATTGGTCTGTTATGAAATTATGTGTCACAAGTCTAAAGCTTTTTCAAGTCGTAATCATTGAAGGGCTTTGTCTTTTTTACACAAGCATTGCTACAGAATTAATAGACGTGATGGTGCAAGTTTCACTATGTTCTCACATTTATTATTGCCATTTTATATATATATATGAATACAAAGGAGAATCTATGAACATGCATGCAACGTGCATAAGATCTAGCTGTAGTTCAAGATCTACAGACTAGAACGCGCAGTTTTCACTGACAACTTTGAAACCTGAATTAGGACGTGCCTCTGTCTTTTATAATATATTTTATTGCAAGCATAAACTTTAACGAGATATGACAAATTAACTCTCGTGATCCAGTAGTTTTAAGACTTATTTAGTACTCTTAGAATAATTTTTATAGTGTTAAAACAATGTTTTACCAACAAAAATATTTTTTATGATCACATATTACTTTTATCAGTTTTGATATACTCTATAAATCATGTTCATATATTAAAAAAAAAAGAAGAAAAAACTGAGATACTACATTAATTGCAGCATCTTCTGCAATTTGTTGGTGAAATATGGAGACATTTTGTTACGAGACTTTTGGCATATATGAAAAGAAGAGAGGTATGGGGGTTAGTTACATCCATTTCATGATATGGCAAGTTAAACCAAACACTCTAATGTGAGAGGTTCATTCAAATTAGCATTACTGTTTAGCATGCTACGGGACGTGAGATTAGGCTTTTCTTGATATGACTTGGCACTCTTTGCTTCGTTATTAAGTCACTTGTCTTCTCAATTCCCATATAAGTTTAATCAACAGACGTAAAAAACAACATAACATTATATGATACGTTTTCATTACAAAGCAGCGACATAACCACTTAGGAAATTTATCCAAGTTTTATGGGAGTTGCTGTGACTGTGATATAAGCAGGCATACTTGTAAAACATTGATTAAATGCTGATTTTATCACAAAGGTTTTAAATTTAATAAACTGGTCTAAATACATGGAACTCCTCCAACTATAGATGAGATTTAAGAAAACTCTTAAATATTGAATAACATTTATACCTATATATAGAGAATACATTGATTTGTAAATATTTTTTTTCTTCACATTTTTTTATAATAATTTTACTCTTAAATCTTTAAATAATAAAAAATAATATTATAAGTTATTTTTATTCTTACCATTCAAATAAATTAATTATCTGTAACCATTCAAATTTTCAAATTGTTAACCTCTAATTTTATTATTTAATTTCAATTCTTTTATTTTATTTTAAATCTTTAAATAAAATATAAAACATAAAGTGTCTTGATCCACTAATACTTATTAAAGAAAGAAAAATGCTAAATTTTCCTAATTTGGATTCCGAATCATCCTCTGAACAGTTAAATATTTTAAAATGTCAAATATGAAGGTTAACCAACATGAAATTTTTTAAGCATTCGGAAAAAATTTCGGACGATTGTTTCTGAGTATATAGCATCTGTCTTAAAAAAAATGGCTACTAGAGTGATTTCCAAATTTTGTTCTTTAGGATTATTGGCTTCTCAGAACTAGTTGTAATCCAAATTTTTATGCATCATCTTTAATCATACAGTATTGTCATTACAACTTAACATACACAACTTTAAAATTGTTATCCTTTTTTAATTTGGTTTCAAAAATTCCGAATCATTTTATATATTATATTTATAGGTGCAATCTAACCGTTAAATTTTTTTTTTCAAAATCTTTTTACGATTTATTCTTTATTTACTCAATTTACATCTTTATAGTGTATTTAGATAAGAAATTTAAATAAAATAACTCATTTGTTTGAAAAATTTTAAATTCTTTAAAGTGAAATATCTTGTTTGAATAAAAAATTTATAAAAAATTTGAAATTTAAGTATTTTTGAAATTCTTTGAAATAGTAGAATTTCAAATTCTCTCGAAAAAGTAAGAATTTGAAACTTTTCGTATTTTTTTCTTCTTATTTCACTTATATATTTTATCTCATCTTTTATCTCTTCATATTTTTAATTATTGAATATTCAAAAATATTTTTAAAATTATTAAATATTATCTAATATTAAATTTTAAAATTATTAAATATTTAAAAATTAGTTAATATTTATTTTTATAAAATTTAATTTAAAAATTTTAACATATAAATATATCTTTAAAATCAATTTTATCATGGTAGAATCAAATTATCATATCTAATTTAATAATTCAAAATTTGAAAATTTTGACTTGATTTATCTAAATAATATATTTTAAAAATAATAATAATTGAAATAAAAGTAATTCAAATATAAAAAAATTTAAATTTCTTAAATTTATAAAAATTTTCATTCAAACATTTGAAGGTGAGTACCTAATTAAACACATGAAACAACACCTTCCGTTGGATTCAGAAATTAATGAAGTGAAGTTTTATAGGTAAAGTTATTAGGTCGATATCTCTCATACAAGGCTTTAGCCAAAAATAGGCATGCAGAGCAGAAAGACAATCACAAACAAACTAGTGGCAAATTAGAGCTATTAGAATTAAGGATAGACTTCATAAATCTTCTTTCAATTAATGGTCCACTGGTTTCCATAATTCATTCCTAACAAATTAACAAACTCACCGTTAACGTTTATCGTCTATAAAGTGGATAAGTTTTAGGACCCACTAATCTGTGAAAATGTATCCTCACAAAAAAAAAAAATTTCTCATCATTTCTTAAAGTTTTTGAAAAAAATAATAAAATAAATTGATGCATATTTTAGGATGAGTTATATTTATATTTTTAAAACTTTAATAATGGAGGAAATATAAATAAAAGAAAATGAAGAGATCCTAACTCCCCCACCTAGCCCTTAACAAATTTTCTTTTTGAATGTGCAATTTTTATCTTCAAAAAAATCTCATTGCAAGTTTTGATTCATCTGATTTTTAGAATTAAATAATGTTGATTTATGTTTAACATGTCATAAAAAAAAATCAATCTTTGTATATGAAACATAAATCTCTATTTTATGAGAATATTTTTAGAATTTTTTTTTTTCGACGAGAGAATATTTTAGAATATGAGTGACATTATTTAATAGATAGTTATAACTAGTTATGATTCAAAAATTTTAGATAATAAAAACAAACATTAAACATGTAATTTTACATTTTTTTAAATATAAATATACATAGTACATCACAATTACTTTATTTCAAATTTTGAAATATCGAATAATTTTTTTTATCACACTTATTCTTAATTTAATTGGTTGTATTTGATGTTCAAATCTGGAAGTTACGATTTTAAATATTACATTTGGTTAAAAAAAATCTTAAAACTAATAACTTTAATGCAATTAAAGTCTTAATTTAATTATTTAATTTATTATTTATTTTAAACAAATAATAATTATACATAAATTTTATATGTGAATTTAATTTCTTTATCGTACAAGCATTCAAATCCACTTACATTACATCTCTTACACGCCTTCAGCAACTTAGACAACCCATTAATGGTTCCTCTTCCTTCTTATCTTCATGTAGAGCCGTTTACAACAAACATTTACAATAACAAAACAAAAACAAAATAAAAATAAAGTGTTCTGTCAAAATATTAAAGTAAAATAAAAATGCTTCTTAACCATATCGGCGCCGGATGCTGTTGGGTCGGCCCTCCACGACCCGACCCGAATCACAAAACCCGAATGGTCCCCGCTAGTTTTCGCCGCCGGCGGGTGTTGCCGCCGTGTCCGGCGAGGACTGCGGCGTTGAAAGGCGTACGAATGGAGAAGAGAGGCGAGAAGCGGCGATCGATATGCACCGCCGACGAGCTTCACCGCGTCTCAGTTTCGAACTCCGATTGGAAGCTCGCTCTTTGGCGCTACCTTCCTTCTCCTGAGGTTACCCTTTTCACAAGTTCTCAACTTTTTGTTTCTGTAAATACCCTTTGGACAATGCTATGATATATAGCTTCTGGGTATCTTTGATTCCCTCATTTTTATCGATAATCATAATAAAGTCTTCACTTTTCGCATATACTTTTTTTATCAGTAGGAGTTTAACAAGTCAGAACCTGGGATCCTGTTACCTGTACATGTTATCCCAATCCCCACTTTTTATATAAGTGTTTGGGTGAATGCTCGTAAAGTTGATTTTGTTTTGGATGATTTATTGTGTAACTAATCATGCATCACGTTAGTTTTCAAGATTCAACGGTGTTGCTGTTAAAAACAAAAAGCCTCTGCATGTATTTTGCAGGCCCCAGTGAGGAATCACCCGCTTTTGTTGTTGTCAGGAGTTGCCACCAATGCAATTGGCTATGATCTCTCTCCTGAGGTGAGTTTGTCTCCATCGAAAAGTCAAAGGATTTTGTTTTGGAATGGCTATGATGCAGATTCTGCACCCATTAAACATTACTTTCATAGTTCCACGTTTTCATTTTGTTGGATTTTGAGTAGAGTTGTTTGTGCCCTTAAATTTAAATCTTAAGTTTGTTTATTTGTGACAATAATTCCTTAGAATTTGGTTTCTAACCGAGCCTAATGGCAGAACGTAATTCATGTAGCTGACCTCATGTAGTGTGATAAGACTTTGTTGTTGTTAGTTATTTGTGACAATAGTTTGTTCTAGTCTAGGGTCAATTTTGAAGGATGTGTGATGAGTGCATGTCGTTTATGTTCAGTCTTCATTTGCTCGGTACATGTCAGCGCAAGGTTTTGATACATGGACTCTCGAGGTTCGAGGTGCTGGGTTGAGCACACTTGGAGATAGGGTGGAGGAAGATGAGTGCCTCAAGAATTTTTCTGAGATTGATTCTGCTATTAATAATGACATTGGTGAAAGCAGCGCTGCTTTTGCATCAGAAGTTCGTCAAAAGAAAAGGGGAGGATCAGAGGCTATAACTAAATCTGAGGAAATGCGGTTCACAGTGAGGTTCAAGGAGATTTTTAAAAGTATGTCTGAAAGGCTTGCAGGCTTTCTCAATAGAGGTTAGTGACGTGTTCTTAGGAACATGTCTTTTTTTTATCATTATATGATATGATTATATGAACAGCTAATATGAAAATTAATATTTTTCAGACTCTTTGGATGAAGGAAAGGACTCTGCATTTGTTAGTCAAATCAAGGATCTTAATCGGAGACTTCGAGCTATTATTGAAGGTCAACAGTCATTCCCAGCACAGCTTTCAGAATTGCAAGATCGTTTTGCTGCCACTCTAGAAGAGTTTCAGAAACAGTATGAGCTGATTGTCAAGTGCGATTGGGACTTTGACCATTATCTGGAAGAGGATATACCTGCTGCGGTGAGGTGACATTCCTTTGTGATAATTTAGCAAGATCTGCTCTTTTATCTCTATTTACTTTGGTGTTATTTTAATGTTTTTGTTCCACTTAATAGACATAATTTTTTTTGGATGATCTCATTAAATGTTTCTCAATTGTTGGTTTTATACATCCATACATTAGATGGAGTACATAAAGGCTCAGTGCCAACCAAGGGATGGAAAATTGCTGGCGATTGGTCACTCAATGGGGGGTATCTTGTTGTATGCAAAGCTTTCACGTTGTTGTAAGTCTCACAGATCTGCTGTTTTATTTCACATTTTTCACGCATCTAATTCAGTGCCCATCATTTGAAGGGCAGTTGAGCATCTATTATTATTCCCATTCCTTTTTTATTCAGAGCAACATATTTGCAACTTAATTATTTCACACATCACTATTTATTGAATACCCAAAAAAATATTTTTAGTTGTTTTACCGCAACCAATGTGGATGGTTTTTATCTCTTGCCAAGCATGTTATCCCCCTCCGATTCAGTGTGAAAATTTCAGGATAGCTTGAGATCTTATGTGGAAATAAGCCACATTGTTGTGAATTGTGATAAGTGTAGGACCATTTGTAAATTATTTATAGGAATCAATGTGTTGATCAATATTTCTTCTTTTCTACATAAATTATATGTCAGGTTTTGATGGAAAGGATTCTGGGTTGGCATCTATTGTTACTTTGGCGTCATCACTGGACTATACCCCTTCAAGATCATCTCTCAAGTTGCTTTTACCCCTGGCAAGTGTTAAAAGAAAATGATTGTGTGATGACAAGTTTTTATTTATTTGTTCCATGCCAGTGATATGTCTCTAAGCTATATAGGTAATAAGAAACTATGTATTTGCAGGTAGAACCTACTCAGGCTTTGAACATTCCTGTTATTCCAGTTGGGCCATTGATGGCTACTGCTTACCCTCTTGCAAGCTATCCTCCATATGTATTATCTTGGTTAAATTCTCAGATTTCAGCTCAAGATATGATGGATCAAAAGCTATTTGAGAAGCTTGTTTTGAACAACTTTGGTAAGTTCCATTTTTTTTCCTCAGGCAACTTTTTGTACAGACTACAGAGTGCCTTTCAACAAAATATCTATGCACATTTTTAGCAAAAACTTCCTTATGAAACTGTACATAGTAGGATGTCAGGGAGTTTAATTGAGAAGTATACTGGTACATCTAAAATAAATTAAGATGTGATCCATGTCCCGCAGCTTATTGCAAATATCAGTCAGCAGCCTTTCAATTCTTCAGTGTGCAGTGTGCTATACAATCTGTGCAACAGTCTTCACTATATACTTTTTAGACTTAAATATGTTTTTAATACTTCAAATTTAAGATAAATTTGTTTTTAGCTTCTCAAATTTGAAACTGATCTTTTTAGTCATGTAATTTCAAAAAAATCTTGTTTTGGTCCTTATATTCAATTTCATTTAGGGAATCGTCAAATATTGTCGTATAAAATCTACCTACTAGTGTCTTTGTCAATGAAAACATAATATTAAATTCAGTTGATGTTGCATAACTGTCTTAATTTGTCACTTTTAGTTGTGTTATTAGTGATTTAAGAGACTAAAACAAGATTTTTGAAAATTATAGGAACTAAAAAGAACAACTTTAAATTTAAGGAACCAAAAATAAATTTATCCTAAATTTGAGAGACTAAAAATATATTTAAACCAACTTTTTATCATAAACAGTTGTGAATGCATCAGTTTAACTAATTTGTGTAGCTAGAGTCCTCTTCCTCCTTTTGATAACGTTGAAGCTTAATGATATAATTAATTGAAGTGTACTACAACGTCCACTGGATCTTCCATTTACCAAGTTCGAGTTTCAATTCTATCTAGTTAATGCTAACATTAAGATGTCTTACATTGACTAAGAATATGATTAGAACACTCCTTATAAGACTTCAGGCAATCCTCGTCCTTCAAGTTAACTTTTGGAAGTGAATTGGCCCAATCAGTTTTGAATATAGTGTTAGGGTCTCTCTAGTCTTGATGTTAGACTGCCTGTAAATGTTTAATCTTGCAAATTTTATGCACCAGATGTCTAGTCCTAGGCATAAGGATGTATGTTAAGATGTCCTACATTGGATAGGAATATGACCAAAATACTCCTTATAACACTTGGACAATCCTTCTCCTTAGAGTTAGCTTTTAGTCTAGGATGCTAAATTATTAGTTGATCTTGCAGTCCTATGTAAATGCCATTCTTGTTACCAAATCCATACATTGAAAAGCACTAACTTGTTAGTTTGGGTTTTTGTTTTCTGTCATAGATAAATGTCAGATCTTTCTGGCTATGATTTGGATATTCTGCAGCTTCTTATATAGTGTAATCTATGTATGCTCTTTCAAATTTTTTTCTCAAACAAACTTTCAGTTATTCCACTATACTATTGACAACCTGACCATAATTGACAGGTACCGTGCCTTCTAAGCTTCTCTTGCAGTTAAGAACAGTTTTCCAAGAAGGTGGTTTACGTGACAGGAGCGGAACATTCTTCTACAAGGATCATATCTACAAAAGTAAGGTTCCTGTTTTAGCGGTTGCTGGTGACCAAGACTTAATCTGCCCTCCTGAAGCTGTATATGGTATTAAAACTATACTAGTCTATCCTTTAAAGAAAAATGTTAACAATATATTTTCTAACACTTTTTCTGACACACTCTTTTATTAGGTGAAATTCATCTGAGTCTCACTTCGATAGGTCCAATTCTCAAACTAGTGAGACTCGCATGAAATTCAACTAATAAAAATGAGTATGTTAAGAAAAGAGTGTTAGAGAGAATCTTGTCAGGACTCCTCATTCTTTAAATGCTTTACTCTTTTCAAAGCAAAAGTAATTTAGCTTTTATGATGAGTATGATTATAAATGTGAAGCAGAAACGGTAAAGCTTATTCCTGAAGAATTGGTTACATACAAAGTCTTTGGAGAGCCTGATGGTCCACACTATGCCCACTATGACTTAGTGGGTGGTCGTCTGGTATGATTATTCCAATTATTATTTTATTGAAGGAGTTGCAACTTACAAGCATACATATTTGAATCAAATTGATATTTTTCGATCAATGGATTTTCTCAACTTAGTCACTTTACGCTCCATATTGCAGGCAGCAGATCAACTGTATCCATGTATAACTGAATTTCTCATTTATCATGACATGGATTAGTCCATTGATATCTTTAAATGCCTCAATTCTTTTGTACAAGAACGCTAGATGAAAATCTTCATAGAGTACACCCCTACACCCTACAATATCCTGTCAATATATATATATATATGCATAAACTGTGATAATACTCAAGTTCCTGTATATAGTGAAAGACAATGTATACGTATAGTTTTAAATAGAGTATACAAGGTTACAGTAAAATTATGGGAAGATTGCCCTATATCGTTCTGATTTTAACAGGGTGCCAGAAAGTATATAATGTGGTCATGTTTGAATAAACTTTTTCAATAGGCATAGGCACTAGAAGAAAATAAAAAATAAAAAATGAACAAGTCTTTTCTTGTAAGTTAAAATTAATTTATGTAGACGTTCCTCCATTTAACTTTATCAAAAACTTCGGCCTGAGTTGATTTCAATTTGAGAAATGTTTACTTCATTTTAATTTTTTAATTTTTTTCTCTTATAATTGTTATCAGAAAAGTTAATTCAAATAAGGCTTGGGAATCACGTGGTATTTCTAATTACATTACAAGATTTTATGAACTAACTGAAGTGAGGTTGCCATGAACTTTGCAATTTTACCATTTTTTTTTCTTTTGTAAATGTTATGGATGTACCACGTTTCCACTTCCCAAGTTTTTAACCTATAAAAATGCTTTTGTGCTTCGGTGTCAAACAAGTCACACGTGAGTTCTTTTTCTTAATCTTGAAAGCAAATTTTATTAATGTGACATCGCAATCACACATGGTTTTATCTATAAGTATTTTACAAATAGGATAAGACTCGTCATATTTGCGCAGAGGAAGAAAAAAAAACAGAGTTATAGTCGCTTTCGTTCATGATACTAATAAGTACACTGTTACATTAGTTCCTCAATCCATAGAAATGTTAAATAAATTTCTAAATTTAATTACTTAATATTATTATAGTTCTTAAATATGTTTCAATTTATTATTTTAGTTAAATAAATTAATCTAATTGTTAATTCTATACTTTTACGTTTTTTTTCTTAATTTTCTTTGACTCGAGATTAATATCAGTGTTTTCTAAATTCAGCAGCCAAATGACTATTTAGTAAATAAATAAATAAAAAAGAAGCCAGTTTTTAGCTTGAAGTAACCAATCATTTGCAATTCTATCTTTCAGCTAGAAGAATATCAATGACTTGGCATCTTATATGGTGGAGGCCAACACAACAGGCATTGCGGCTAGAAGAGTGTATTACACTTCCTGCTAAAGTACATGTGAAACTCTACCCTACAATCATAAGGCCACTTTTAAAAGAAACTCTAAAATAAAGAAAAACCCACTAAAGAAGGATAACAAATGCAAAAGATATGCATATGAGAGAATCTTATCAAGAAGAACAAACTCAAGATTTAGCCAATTTGAGTAATTTAAAAAAATGAGATAAACGTAAAATTATTTTTAACTCTACATCTTGACAATAAAATTTGGAAATAGCCTTTTCTTTTTTAAGAAATAATCCTCTTTCAAAAATTCTCCAAAAATGTTTTAAAAAAATTCAAAATAGATCAATCAATCTAAAAATGTTTATCCTTCTTGGTACTTTCATTTGTAAGATAACTACTATTAATTTTTGAATGAACATTGATATTTCAATCAATCTCTCAACATACAAATTGCTTTTATACTTTTGTCAAATGCAAGCACCCTACTTAAGACAAGACCAATGTTTTGAGCCCTTGGGTGTTCCCCAATGAAAGTTACAACTAGAAATTTTGGAGTTGCAATGTGCAAAAAGGAATAGCAAGTGCTTCTTTATCTGTTTACCAGACAGCATTCAAATTTGAAAACCTTGAGTATAATATGCAAAAAACATTGTCCAATTACGAGACCATTACCGAATATAACACTTACAAGTAATATTGCTGACTCCTCACTAAGGAAGCCAAGAGTTTTAAAATATGCAAAGAGGATTTGCTTATATTGCATATGAAAAAACTATACACCAATTTGAGGGTAAAAAACATGAGGATAGTGCCACTCAGTGTCGAACCACAACTTCTTGCTTACAAACTGGGCAGAAGTTTTTATGCACAAGCCATTGTTTTATACATTGAAAATGATAGCTGTGTTCACACTTCAATCTCCCCAACTCATCTTCTGATTCATACTCTTCCTGAGAACACAAACAAAATAATTTATATATTAAATTATGAGTTTTACATTGTTTTGTATAATAAGAATCACAATATCGTTGACTTTTATAATAATTGTTTTAAAAATTGTAATTCTTATTAATTGACAATACATAAATCTTTATAATAACAACACATTTATATTAGAGAAAAAAGGCTAATAAGGAAATATTATCTACAGTGAATTTGTTGAATTTTATAATAATTATCTTAAAAATTATACTAATGATGATCTTTTATTGGTTGATAAGGTAAAAATTTACACTTACAGTGCAACTTACGGTGCATCATCTTTAAATTATTAGAAAGCATTTTACAAAACGTACTGCAATAAAGTGATTTAAAAACTTACCTGACAAACGCTGCACTTTTTGTCCATTTGATGCTTTGGTGCATCATTTGAACTTGAAAGCTTAACTTTCCTTATGCTGAGTCCCATCTCATCTTCCTTGAGTCCAGTGTTGACATAACCGATTCTCTCACCCAGTTCAAGCAATTGCTGTTACACAAACCAGAAATTTTGATGAACAATGAAGATGCATGTACACACACCCAAAATCCATTACAAAAATAAAACACAATGGAAAGTTTAACTGGAATAAGAATTCTCACCTCGTATGACATGTTATCAACATCAAGTCTCCAGTCTCTAAATTGGTCGTGTGAGTTTAGTCGTCCACCCATCATTATTCTTCCTTGAATTATCATTATCTTCAAAGTGCCAATGTACCAATCAAGATATTCAATATTACCTCTTGAACACAATAATAACTAAGCCAATGATTGATGTATTATATTGTAACACTGATGCTTTTATTCACAAGTTTGTTCTCTTTAATAAATCAAAACATCCACTAAAAAGCAAGCCTTGGTTATCTGGTTAGATAAGTAACCCAATCATAGAAGAGAAAATGATACAACATAAAAGTTTAAAACGATAAATCAAAGAAACATGCTAACCTAACTATATATATTTTATTTTTGGGTAAACATTACCGTCAAACAATTTGCTAAAACGGCATACCAAAATAACTAAGATGTGGATCCTAAATTCTTTAATTCTCCTTTTATATGTCAATTTTTTATATGTAGGGCAAGAAATCTTACTTAACATTGTCTTTGAATTCCTTTGACCAATCATTGTTTATAGTATAACTATTAACTTCAACTAAAGGCACAGAGCAATGACCAAAATCGAATAGTAACTTGATTTTGCTGTGATCAGGGTACACAGCGGATTAGGATTATTAAGAGCTCAAAAACTCTTTTCATGTGGGAATCTAATCAGAACAATAACTAAGGGAAGCCAATTCCAATAATAGTAATAATGTACATTGAAAAAAAAAATTGGAGTACCTCAAATTAAAACTAAGAATTAGTAAAGAAAAATCCTCCACTGTGTGAAATAATGGTTACATCAGCAGAACTTTCTGACATCGGTAGGAATTAACAAGGCATAAAAAAGAAATACCATAAAGGTGAAAATTGACACAATAGAACACAACAATGAGTACCTAAAACAGCCAATAAAATAAAACAAAAAAAAAACTATCTAAAAACAACTGCATACTAAAATTTCAAGCAAAACAAGTACATTTGCTCTACCAACTCATATGCCAAGAACCCTCTTTTCTTATCAATTGCTGCATCGAAAACCCTTTTCTATTTCGTACCTTTTCAGTTTTCAGTACACCTTACTTTTCGTTTCTAATTATAATGCTTACGGCTGCATTCTATTCCTTTTCCAAATAATTACTTGATTAGGGATTAAAAAACCCTTAACACATGTAAATGGGCTTCGGCCCACTTAAGGAATGTCAATTGGACAGGATAGATATAGGCAATAGTCTCTTCCATATCTTTTATCGGATAAATATTCGCTTTGAATCTATTTCTATATTATTTTGGATATCCTTTAAGCGAGTATTTACATATTTTTTTAATAGTGGATATTTATTTTCAAAAAATAAATAATTTTTTAAAAATATTTTAATAATAATTTTTATTTATTCTAATAATTTCTTTAAAAATAATTGTTTAAAAGTCAAAATATAAATCATATAATTATGTAATTAAATATTAACAATTACTCATCAGTATGGATATTATGATACTCCTACCCATTCCATTAACATCTAAATATAGAAAATACTTATATATACCTATTCATTTATGATATTCATATTTTATATGTAACAGATTTTATCCTAAAATATCTAGGGGGTTACGAAATTTTTTCACATCCCTTCCCCCACCTATGACCTAACAGATTTGCGTTACAGAATTTGAAAACTTGTTGGCAGGAGCTTCTTAGTTGTAACTACTTAATACGTATTTTAGTTTTTTTAAAGCGATGAAAAACAATCTCAAAAGTAATTCCTAGATTATCAACTAGTACATGAACATACTTTGCTATCCCATTCAAATATTCAATGCTCACAAGACATTGGTCTTTATCCTATGATAAAAAGATACGAAGAATCTAGAGTCTAAATCACAAGTTTTCAAATTCTGTAACGCAAGTTGTTTCGAATACTAATTAAGTCTTTGTTTAGGAATTAATATCAGTAATTTATAACCACCCTTCTTTATTAACCAACCAAAACACATTTTCAGGACAAAAGGACTTGAGATCGGATCATCTCCCATCAAAAAAATCCTAACTACACACCTCTGCTTCATCACAATACTATAAATTACACACACATCATTTTGAAAAATTACTTGTTGTGCACAGAAATTAACTTACACACATCTTTACGATTAATAATAAGATAGATATTGTTCATTTTAAATATAAGCTTTCAAGATTTTATTTTTGAGTATCACCTTAAAAGTCTCTAATTAATAAAGATTTTGTATGTTTAATAAACTCGTGTTTATTTTCTTATTCGAACTATATAAGACTTTAATTTTATTCTAACATATTTTTTTGTTACAAGGTTATATTTTATTTTTTTTCTAGACTTAAATATGTTTTTAATTTTTTAAATTTAAGAAAAATTTATTTTTAATCTTTTAAATTTAAAACCAATCTTTTTAGTTCTTGTAATTTCAAAAATCTTATTTTAATTCTTTTACTCTAATTTTGTTAAAAAATCTAAAAAATCTGTCAAATATTATCACATAAAATCTACTTACCGATATCACTGTTAGTAAAAATATCACATTAAACCCTCTTACACTATATAATTGTCTCAATTTATTATAATTTAAATTTGAGAGAAAAAATGAATTTATCCTAAATTTGATGGATTATAAATATATGTAATTGTTATTTTTATTTACAAATTTCAACAAAATGGACATTAATCAATTAGGGTGTAGAATTAATTAATAAGGGTGGGGTTTTCATCCTATATATTATTCCTGGTTTTCATACTCATTTTCAAACAGTACTACTTTCACACTTCTCTTTCTTTTCTATTTCAATTATATTTCCCATCATGATACTTCCGATTAAGACTATGTATTCTTCTATTTTGGCACCATCATACTCTGTGGTAAAGGATTTATGCAGGAACCATGCATGTAGGAAGTTTTAATAGAAGAGAATTTTTTAAGGCCTGCACAAAACACAAGTCCTACTGTTGGTATTACATGAACAGTAACTAACAGTCCATAAACAGTTCTAATAGAGTCAGAGAGTACCAGCAGACTGAATTAGTGTTTGGTGTAATTTACTGCAAGAACATGGACCTCACATACATGACATAATCCAACAATGGAAACAAGAATATTGCAGTACAACAATAAATGACCCTATGTAAATAGCCAATTAAGAGTAAATAAATCAAACTCAATGACAGACCATATACCAATTAAGCAATAGCTTCTTGTATGGAAAACCCAAATTTTGCTTCAGTCAAGTCAAACATGCACTGTAATCTATGTTCACAACGAGAACACATGACCAGAAAATAATCTATGCACGGACACTCACAGAGTAAATGTGATTTAATCAGAAATTGCTGTATACGATAAGTTTATTAATTTTTACATATTCATACTTACTATGATATATGATTGATAAACCAAGTAAAAACTCTTTGCATTCTCCGTGTATAGAAATTAAACTTGTACATGAAAGGGTATTAGAGCAAGAACCAACCTCAGCAAGACCTTCAGAAGAAGGATGTGGAACATGGCGATAGAATCTAGCAGTTCGAAAAGGCTCTAATCCAGGGCGTGATGTGAAAACCTCAGGATCATCATCAAGAAAGGAGAAGCTTTCTGGCTTTACAGTGCGCCTTCCAAAATAAGATGGACGCTGCCATTATATTTATGAAGCAGAGTTAGACCATGTCAAAGCAAGTAGAAACCAAAACAATGACGAAACTTAACTAACACAAATGGAACAAAAATTGCAACTAATCACTCAGATGTGTATGTTTTGTACAATACAATAAAATAAACAAATCTAGAATATTAATGGTGATAATGAGTGTCTTTCTTCACTTCATGTCTTCAATCAAAGACTCCCCTTACTCAAGGAGTCCACAATAAACCAATCAAGAACTCCTCCATGCGTCTGTAACTAGGAAATGTAATGCGTGCACGCATTGGAGAATGTGGCAGCTTATCCATACTTCTCACACATACTCTCTACTACTCTACTGACATACACATGTGCTATTCAGCGCTTGCAGAACATTCATTAATATTATTTTAACATTAATAGAATTTGAGAATGCTAAGATCTCACAACTACCAAATAATTAAAAGGCTTGATTATAATGTTAAGCTTTTAGAAAATAAAAGTAATATCCCCTCCTTTGAATAAAAAATATAAACAAAAATGCAAGTAAAAAATCTATTTATTGAAATTGGGAAAGAATACATTTACTGTATGAAAAATTTAAAAAATAATAATAATAATTAAAAGGACATTTAATAAAGTATACCCATTAGTTGATAATTATTACCTAACTCCTACATCAAATCAATTAAGTGATTTTCGTGAATAATTAATTTAATCAAATAATTGATGCTAAACTTGATACCTTATATATTATCTTTATTTATAGTTTTTTATATGCACATCTTAAAAATACCCCAAAATCAAAAAAACAAGAAAAATATCCTGTATTAGTTAGAAAAGAAAAAAAAAAAAAATCTCCCTTGAACAAAACACCATAAATCAATCAATCAAACCAAAATGATCAATTTCCCCCAACTACAAACCTGACAAACACATCCAACAACAAAATTGTAAACATTAGACTAGTGCAGCATACCATATATCATCTACAACTAGACACACAAGAACATTTAGAAGAAAGAAAACAAAAACAAAAGGAACTGATAACAGATTGAACCAGCAAACCAAATGATTAAAATGTGCAAAAATGAGAATAGTATATATATATAGTATACCTCCCTGTGTGTGAGCCTCTCCACCATATCAAGTTTTCCTCTTGCAGACACATTCCTCCTAGCCACAACACAGTCCACAGATGCAGATGCAGCATCAGTTGAGAAGCCAATTCCAGGGCCACACCAGACATCTTGAAAGTCCACAGCAGACCCATCATCATCACTGTTCTTCTTCTTCCTGCCCCTCTTCCCTTCCCAATCCGCGGAGGACCGAATGACCGCCGGCACCGACACCTTCTGCGACGCGGCGGCGCTACAACCGAGCCCTCTCAGGGTGGCTGCAGAGAATTTTCTGTTACTTTTGTTGTTGTTTTGGTCTCTGGCATGTGTGGTTTCGCTGGAGGTGGAGAAAGAGGACAAGAGAGAGGAGATGGTGGATTTGGTGTGAGATGATTTGTTGAGAGGGTTTGGATCAGTTTCTGAAATGGGGTGCCTCAACTGTCTTCTTGGTCTTCTCCATTTCATGTCTTCTGTCACAACAGGCATGGTTTAGACTTTAGAGAGAGAAAGAGAAAGAGAAGGTGTGTTCAGAATTTAACAAGAGATTTGAGATGACTGGAACATAATCTCAAACTGCTCTTCCAAGCAAAGTAACACTAACTACTTGTGTGGAATGCAGAGAATGTGGATTTTTTTTATATTTTATTTTCTTTCAGATTCAGAGGCCAATTATATTTCACAATTCTCTTTAACTTGATTAAGACTTCTACAAAATTATATAGGTTGGAATATCTTATAGTTATATTATATCCCCTTGTGATAAGAATAAAAAATATAAAATATTATTGTATATTTTAAAGTTTAGTGTTATTAGTCTTATGCGGATAATAATCTTAAAATATTCAGTTTTTGACATGAAATGATGTGTCGAAAATTTTGCATAAATTAATAAAATAATCAATGTGAATTTTCTGTGATATGAAGTAGTGTGTTGAAGAATAATTATCGATTTATGAGATGATTTGGTAACCGAATTCTTTTTGTACTAAAAAAAATCTTGCTGTGAGGAATAAAACTCTGATGAGAGACTATTAGTTAAACTGGTTTAGTTATTCTACGCATTCGGTGGTGGAAAGAATGTGGATTGATTAGTTTGGAAATAATGTTATTTATTTTTTTTGTGGGGGTTACTTTCCTTACGTGGTTGTTTGTTAGGTGGGGTATGGTTTGTCTTGTTGTTGGAATTGTGGGCATATGCTATTATTCAATGGGTGTGTGAGGCCCCTGGAATCTGTGACTACTTTTGCTTCTTTTTGTGCATTTTAAGCCAAACTGCTGCTAACATCAGAGGAAAAGTTGAGAAACCCTTCCGCTCTGATTATTGTTCTTGGAGTCTAGTGCTTTGGCCTGAGGCTTCAAATAGAATGGAAAGGAGGTACCAAGGGGCAGGGATCACATCACATAATATATGATAATAAACAAAATTAAAACTATGCAGAAAGTTAGATTTCAGAGGTTAGAATATTGGCAAAGGGTCCCACACAAGGTCAAAAAATGTTAATGTGTTTTGGGATGTAGTGTGTCACACCCATCATTTGCAGAAAATCAGAAATGGTTGTTATCATGTGTTGTGGGGTGCCTTCAATTTTGACACCACAAATGTCTTCCATGTAAAGCAACCTAGCTTGATGTAAGTAAGTTCCATGCAATTCATTGTATTTTTCGGTGGGGGAAATTATTTGCATACTCGTATTCCACTAAAAGTCGTCTTTGGATGGTGGAGAGAAAAAAACGGGCAAAACAAAGAAAGAGAGAGAAGTAGAGATATTGGACAATTCGTGAAATTTAGGTATCAAAAGATTCTCCCTACTTAACAGAGCTCTTTTTACCATGTGTGATTGTGATCTTAGGTCCTGGACAAATAAAATGTTGAATTCGTCATATGAAAATGTTTAAATGAGTTGAATTTTAAGATTTATTAAGATTAAAATAAGTTTAAATTTTATGAGAATTTATAAAAGTATATATTGAATATTTATTAATAAGATTTTCACATGAATAATCATACTCGTGTCCTTTAGAGATGAGTTCATTTTTTGTAAATTAAACCAACTTTTATTATTAAATTATACTATTTTAGTAAGAAATGACTAAATTAAGTTTTATTTTTAATTTTAAAACTAAACTTCCTTCTCTCTATAGATTAAAATGATATATACACTTTATTTTCTTTTCATATAAACAAACTTTTTAAACATAGTAAGAAATTACGAATTTTTCCATTTTCTCCCTAAATTTTTTAATATATCAGCATTTTCAAGGATTATTTGGAAATTTTTAGAGACCAAATTATTTTCATATTTCTTTTCATGAATAGTGTTAGCATATTTTACAATAAAATGTTAGAATTTTTTGGGGTCGAGATTCTTTCAAAGTTTTTAAAAATGGGAAGAACCCAAATCCATTTTTTATTTTTATTTTTATTTTGGTATTGGTGAGATCTGAGCTTACCTATGAGTTTTCTGGTGATGAGTACATCAAATAAAACTCCTTATTCTTGGAAAATGACCCTTATTGGTTCTATAGAAAATCCTTGACCCATATGAAAGGTATATGCTCCTTTTCAAAACATGGGGTTATCACCAAAATATAAGTCCACATGTATCCTTTCAATTCGTGTGATGGGTATGAAATGGAATGTGGCTTATAAATAACCTTGAAATGTGGAAAAGAAATATAATAATGGGACTGCTAAGATGTAAGAACAAAGGCAAAAGAACAAAAAAAATACAGTAAGTTCCACGGTTGTTTTTGACTAGTGCACACATTAATTAATTGAAGTTGGGAGCCATATATGGAGACAAAAGAACAAATCTGCCAGAGGCAGAATTGTAGAATGATGTCCTGCATCGCTTACTTTATATGGTAATAAATATTTTAAACAATTATTAATTGTATAAATTATTATGATAAAAATGTGATTTTCCTTGAAAAAAATAGTTTTATTGAGAGATTATAATACACATATTGTTCTGGAATCTAGATATCCTTATATTTGTTTCTCGTCTCGTATTGAATAATTAACCATGTTGTATAATTATACTAATTAATTGGATGTTTGTTCATGTTCGGATGGGATTTTAATAGAGTCTATGAATATGTTGCATTAGATTTACAATGATTTCATATTGGCTTAATCTAGAGACGTGTTTGATATTGGAAATATTTTTATTTTTTATTTTTGGAAATTTTAAATAAAAAAATTAATTTTTCATTTTTGATAGTTATTTAAAAAAATATATCTGAAATATAATTTTTTGAAAAATATTTTTATTTTACTTAAAAAAATATTCTCATAATAGTAAAAATCTAACTCTCTCGAATATGTTTAACATATATAAAAGATTGCAATTTTTTTTAAATCTCTCTTCTTTTGTTTCTTTTTCTCTTTTCTTCTTTCCTTCCTCTTCTTCTTTCTTTTTTTATTTATTTTTATTTATCTTTCTCCCTCTCATTCTTTCGTTCTCTTTTTATTTCTCTTTCTTCCTCTCTTTCTCTCTGTCTCTATCACTCTCACTCCCCTTTTCTTCCTGTCTCCTTCTCCCTCTCCCTCTCCCCTTTCTTTCCCTCTCATATCTCTATTTCTTTCTCTCATATTTTCTTATTTATTAATTTTGTCAATTTTAATAATATTATTAAAGTCTATTTTATTTTTACAGTTTAACATTATTTGTTAGTACTTATTTATTTATTATTTGAATGAAATAAAAATATATTTTTATCTTTCTTAATTATTATATAATATTTTTTTTGTTTATTTCTTTTGTTGAATTCTATATTTAGATAATTTTAATTATAAGTTTTCAACTTTTAAAAATAGTTTAATATCATATTTATAATAAGATTTAAGTAAATAAATGTATCTATTATGTTTATTTTAATAAAGGATATTTTTGTAAAAAGTATTTACATACTCAAGAATATACTATTATAACTAAACATGAAAAATCTTTAATTTTTCGAGAATCTTATATGAATATTCATGAAAACTTTTGTAAGTAATCAAACATGTTTTAATTATTTTCAGGAATCATGATTTTCAATATTTGTAATTTTTAAGAATCATGATTTCTAGGTATGAAAAAACTTCTCTCTTACCAAACATCTCTTATAAGTCTAGTCAAGTAAAATGTATTTAATCTTAAAATATATCTATGTACAAAAAATATTCATAAAGAGATTTTTAACTCTTCTTATTAGAAGGAGTTTATATATGTTTCACTAATTTTTTAGATAGTCAATATGTTTTGGTTTGTAATTAACATGTCTTCAAATAAATGTTCAAACAAAGTTACACATTTTTAATTTTATGGATTGAAAAGTGAAAATTTTCGTTTGCAATGATGCAAGCGGTTACCTAAACACGTTGAAATTCCCATTTTATAGATTTTATCTAAAAAAAACATAGTTCCTTAGACCAATACAGAAAAATTAGTAGCCAACAACTATATTCAGAAGTAGATTGATATTGACTCTATAGATTGATAATGTTTTCTTAAATAGTGACTTGTTTGAAGAAGTTTAGATCATTAGGCAATTAAAAATCACTATAAATATAAATTTTTAAATAATTATTTTAAAATTTATGTACCTGTCTAGAGGATACACCAATAATCTTCTCGTAGATACTTTTTTTATAATAAAATATAGAGATATGAAGTATCTTACTCTAACAATAACGATGATGATGATAATAATAATAATAATAATAATAATAATAATAATAATAATAATAATAATAATAATAATAATAATAATAATAATAGAAAAGATAATTAAATTCTAACACTCATGTTAAAAAGAATGAGTAAATTACGTTTTCTTTTCATTTACACTATGTTTTTG